TTCGCTTGTTCGTTTTTATCAGTACTCTGTTTTGGCGCTATGCGCTGTGATTAGTTGAACGGTGGGACATATTTCCCTTCAAGAGTCTATTGCCTATGTGTGGATTGGTTTCTGCACAAGTGTCTCGGCAATGACGTATTACTGAAATGTGCTCCATGCTAACCACCGCTTAATACCGACCTGACCAGACGCGTAGTAATTAATCACGGCAGACAAATTATACGAGTGCTCCTACAAGGCGGTCATTGGAGGTCTTATAAATACCATCAGAGGGTTCATCAAGGGAAGACATGGCGCTGTGATTTCATGGGCAAGGACGACGTTAAACTGTTTCGGCAGACTGTGATCAGTCGGATCCGCTTGCAGAAAATGACACGCGAAACAGCACTAGAGGACACTACATGCCTGGCCCCCCGTCATCCAAAAACGAAAAACTGGTGCACAACCTGTAGCTAACGGTGGAACGGACGCACATGCTATGGTCTGAGGTCTCATTTAACACAGTCCGTGTGAAATGATTGTCTAAGAATCAAGTTGCAATGACTCGTTCTTTGTATGGCCTTTATGGCACTCCCACCCCGTGAGGCCCATGGCAGGCTGTTGTGCAAATTGCTGACTAAGTGTAGGCTGTAAGCAAGTGGTGTAAGATGGTACTGTGAGCTGAGAACCGTGCCGCTTTAGGCGTCTGAGCCATGCGTCTACTCAGAACACTACAATTATCACACCCAGTTCCGTGTAGAAGGGTGTAAGACCAGTCGGAGTATTTTATTGTATACAGAAACTCAGTTGTGATCTGAAGCCCCAACACACGACAGGCTCGGGCCCTGCGCGCGCGTCTGTCTACTAGCGTGCTTTGGGTATAAATGCCTGAACGTCATACGAGAGTGAGTCACTGGCCGCTTGATCAACTGCAGTCTATGGCCCTTGTGATTGGCTGTCCCAAATGCAAATAGGGGAGTGCAATCACGTGAGGGCTTGGCGCCGGCGCTACACTGCCACTTCCATTCTTTTGCTGTCGTGCTAAAACCTGTGCAGGTGTAAGCTTCGTACGAAGGATCCTGGTGATACGCATATGTGCAGAGTTTTGCCGTGCCGACCACATACGTCCGATCCCGCCTCCGGTCCTCTTGACATCTGGCACAGGCAGGTGAGGTAAGGGAGAGTGTAGCAGATGTAACTTACGTCTACTGCCTATACTTCAGCCTCCCTGCTCTACCACGCTGTTAAGCGCACAATGGACCTCTTTGGAATCGACGGTTTAACTGTCCTCAACCTAGAAACCAGAATGGCAAGTAATCATTTTGAGAACTACTGTAAGATAAGTAACTACGACTGAGGGTCGCAACTTGTTGTGTTGAAGACCAGGTTTAATTATAGCAATAAGCAGCGCGAAGAGAAATGCTCAGCTACCTTCATGTTTACTTTTCTGAACCGTTTGTGTTCGTGTGACGGACACACTTCTGCATGTCAACCGCCGCGAAGCTTCCTTGCTGGACATAACAGTTGTTCGAAGCTTTTCACTTTACCGACCTATTGGCCTTTCATATTGCAGGGTGTCCGTCAGATATCGTTCTTTTGTTCATGAGAATGCTATCGTCTATGTTAACTGTGACTCCCGAGGTTAACGCCTTCTTTATCCCTTTATTATGATGAACACCGACCAACAACTTGAAGTCTCTGCTCAGCCTCCTCACGCCGTTAATTTCACCCTACCCGAATTCTGGCAACAGGCTCCAGAAATGTAATTCATCCACATCGAATCAGCCTTTACTTCTGCTAATATTAACCAGGCGATAGTGAAGTAACACAAACTAATGGAAGTCATGCTCGCTAGCATTACCTCCCATTTCGAGTCTTGCTGCCTAATCATCCTGCAGATACCCCCCTTTTGCACGTGGACTACGGGACTCGGTAGGGTTTCCATGTGGGGTCTTCGAAAGGACCGTATTTATCATAACCATCTACTTACACATTTTATGTAGGTTGAATTACCCACAATATTCCAGTTTTCTAGACGCCGGCCGTCGACCCAGTAGGGATTGAATGATGGCATTGAACTGCAGAGGGATCCTCCGAGGGTCACCACATATCATAACCGCTTAAGTCAGTACATTAAGCAAAATTGCGTTTCAAATTAACTTCGGGAATAATCACTTACGTACCAATTTTATGTACGGTGAATTCCACAATCTTCAACCTTCCTTACTCGTTCGCCCTCTATTCTGGTTGGGGTTAGTGGTTCTACTAGAAGGTGCACCTCAATGACCTCGCCCGAGGTTAGGGCATACTCTCCCGATATACACGCGTTCGCCGTTGGTCGGCCGGGGGGTTAGCGATGATATTAAAGCCTATTTCAGTGTTCCCGTCAGAGGTTTGAGTACGCGACCCAACTTGTCCTCGTAACCATTTTATTTTATGGCAATATTGCAATCCAATTTGTTCATTGTCATGCCCCGCCCGTCCTTTCCCCCAAAATCAGGTGCGCGCGAGCCTGAGGGGCGCGCTTCGCACGCTCCCCAGGCGGCCCCTCAAGGAATCCCTACCCAGGACTCCTGCGACTTAACGCCTTATCTGAACAATACAAGCGAATATGCGAGTCCCAGGAAGTAATTGAAAAGAAGAAGACTATATCGCAGGCACAATACTTTTGTTTGCTTGGCGTTTCGAGATCCGTCGCTGATTCATCATCAGAGACATAAGCAGAAAGTAGTAGCAGGTACGGGAAGCAAATGCACAGGAGTTTGCAGTATATATAGGATACAGTCACTACTGCAAACAGACAACGAAAATTAACGGTAATTGCCTTCTTGCGCGTTGATGGTCTGTTGACCGGCGTGCGGGCTCTAACATGCTGAAATTTAGTCACGCGTGGTGGAGTCGGGTGTGATGATTGCTTGGCCATCTGGCCCTCCGATGTTGGCGTTAGATGACGCGGTGGCCGGTTCGTTCCCCAAGTGGCGACTTGATTTGGCCAAATTGAGCCTCAGCACCGAATATGGATTGGGAAACTTGTTGCACTTGTTTGTGGTTTGAAGGGCCCGTGAACCATGACTCAAGTAATTCTCGGCTCACCCGATTGACACCCCTTGCGAGAAATTCGGCCTCATCAAAGTTGAATGTGTGGCCGGATCTTATCGAATGAGCAACAAATCGGGAATGGTCATCATTTCGCCGCACTGCAGCCGCGTGTTCATCAATTCACTTCTTGAGAAGTCTATCGCAGGGGGTTAAGTAGGTTAAACCCAGCATCTGCGATCTTCAGACCATGGTTACTTAGTGCTGAAGGAGAAGTCGTTAAAGGCCAGAGTAGATGGAAGAATGTATTGTGTACAAAAGGGAGAGGCGAATAGGTGAGAGTAGATTGACTCGGGAGAGCCCGTACGCTCAGGAGAACGACCGGATCCCAAGTGAGGTCTAAAAGTAGTAGAGCCAGAAGACAGAGAGAGGGAGAGCTTTCATTGGCTAGGTAGGCCTGGAG